TTCAGCCGCTCATGCCAATTCCTGCCTGCATAATGCAACTGTCACCCAGTTATGTGTCGGTTCCTGCCTCAATATTGTAATAGCTGTCCATCTCCACATCCTTCTTTGTGGGAAAGTTAGTGCTGAAACTTTCCATTCCATCCACGATGTCCATACTCTGAGAGTTCTAATTTATTCCTTTTCTCAGGCTTATATATCCCACCCTCCATGTCCATACTTTTGCTGCATGTTTTTTTTTGAGACTAACACTTTGTCATATTTATATCACTCTTCTTCATCCCTCATCGGAAGCTCCTGAGTTTTCTCTGTCTAAGGCAAATGGTAAACTCAAGAATCTGTGCCCAGGCTGGACTTGAACTCATTATGTGGGAGAGGACTGCCTTGAACTTCTGGTACTCCTGCCTCTACCTCCCAAGTGCTGGCATTATAAGTATGAGCCACACACCCCCAGCCCCAGCCCCTGCTCACATCCACACATTCTGCACTACAGATTCAAAATTAGAAAAATGTAAGATGTACAAAAAGGTGTTGGGTGTGGTGGCATACTTGGGAGGGAGAGCCAGGAAGATCTCCAAGTTTGACACCAGCCTGGTCATAGTGAGTTCCAGGCCAGTGAGGGCTATCCAGTGAAACCCATCTAAAAAAAAAGTTTCCACAAAAGAATTTGCCACACTATGTGTTTATGATGAATCCCTGGAACTAAGTGGTGTATAATATTAAGTTATAAGAACCCCAGGGATTATTAAAAGTATTTTAGAGGCTCTACATGAGTATCACACCATTTTACGCAAGAGAAAGGAGTACCCATAGATTTGGATGTCTATCAGGAGTCTTAGAATCAAGCCACCCAGACATCAAGGGATCTTTGCGTATTAATTCCTTTTCTCCAACTCAATTGAGGTGAAGTCTCTTTATCTCTATATTGTCCCCGAACCAACCGTCCAGTCCTCTCAGGGAAACTGCCTTGTGTAAGCTAAGAGACATCTTTCAACTGGCCTATGATGCGATTAGCTGAGCAGGCCTTTGCTCCGTGTGCTCTGCATCTCTTGGGGTGATAGTCTGAACAGACATGGCAGTCCCTACAAGCCACCACGAGTTTCTGCTCTGACTCACCTTTCTGAGTCAAAAAGCTGCAACTTTGACTTTTTTCTGTCTCTCTTGGATGTTGGCCGGTTGTAAGTTTGATTTCGCTGGTACTTTGCACTCCCCTGTGTTTTGTCTAAAGCCCCTTCCCTGCCATGTGACTGCCTGCCACCACGCGCTGACCTCCACGCCAACGTCACTCAAACAGCTTAGCTTTTTCTTTCTTTTCTCTATTCTTCTCCTCCTCCAGGTTGCTAAGATTTACAGCTTGCTTGCCCTGGGACTTTCCACTTAAACTCTAATAAAACTGTCCTCAAGCTTAGAGAGAGAGAGAGAGAGAGAGAGAGAGAGAACGAACACAATGCTGTATCTGTCACTATAAAATATAACTTATGAGCTTGATTTTTAAAATTTTTTTATTACATTTAATGTGTGCATCTGTGTACACTTCCACACCTGCATACGCCCTGGCACACTTGTGGAGTCAGGGAACAACTTTCAGGAGTCGGTAGTGTCCTTCCACCGTATGGGTCCTGGGGATCAAACTCAGGTCATGAGCCTCGGCAGCCAGCGACCTTACCTGCTAAGCTATTCCACCAGCTCTATGAGATTAATGTTATTTCCAAACCCCATTTGGCCCAGCGGCAAAAACTTAACCTAAGCCCATTTCAACTTGTATTACCAAACCTTGAATAGTAAGCATAAATTAGCTTATCGTAACAAGGCACTGTTCTGAGATGGTTCTGTGAGTCACTGGGATTATTTGCAAAGATCCTGGGCCCTTCTTCCAGATTTTCCCATACATCTCCACTTCAGTATAGCCACATGGCTTGCTTCAGAAATAAAACATGAGAACATGTGGCATGTCCAGAAGGACATTTTAAATGCCTGTTCGCGATTTTCCCACATAGAAAAGTTCACTTTCTCTCTGCTCTCCCTCTGCCATGGGGGTCTAACAACTTCCCAGCAAGATCCTACTTGAGGGCAATGCTGATGTGACCCAAAGCCTTTGGCTGATCTGCAGCAGACACTGCACTTGTTGGGAATGAGTTTCTGTAGCTGGAAGTTTCTCCAGTCCTGGCTGGCCTGGTGGTCGGGACGAATCTCTCTCATCTGCTTTCCGCAGCTGCTTGGTCCCAAGTAAACACACAGAGGCTTCTATTATTTACAAACGACATGGCCTATAGCTTCAGCTTCTTGCTAGCTAGCTCTTTCATCTTAAATCAACCCATTTCTATTGATCTGTGTATTGCCACGTGGCTCTGGCATTACCGATCTGCTGGCATGTTGCTCCTTGGGCAGCAGGCTATCATCTCCTCCACCTCTGCCTTTCTTCTTCCTGTCTCTCTCTTGGATTTCCTGCCTGGCTATAACCTGACTCACCATAGGCCAGAGCAGCTTCTTTATTAACCAATCATAGCAGCATATATTCACAGTGTACAGGAAGACATGTTGTTTGAACCATTGAATGTGCTCTGGTTTTTTTATTGTTGTTGTTGTTGTTTGTTTGTTTGAGGAAGGGTCTCACTACACAGCCCAGGTTGGCTTTGAACTTATGGCCCTCCTTGTTATTGCTTTTATTACCTCAGCATAGCTTGGCATGGCTGAAGGATATGGGTTGTTAACGCTGCATGGCTGTAACAAAACCTCAGCTAACCCCCTTAACGGAGAAAGGGTTCCAGTTGCTGACTATTTCAGAGCTTTTGGCCCGTGCTTGTTTGGTCCTCTTGCTTTATACCTTTTAGCATCTTGAAGGGAATAGCAAAGGGAGACTGATCACCTGGTGACAGCAAGATCCCTCTCAAAAGCATGTTGTCAACAACTTAATTCTCTCTACCTAGGCCCCATCTCTTAGAGATTCTACCATCTCCCAGTAGACCAGGGGTTGGTGACCAAGCCTTTGATGCACAGGTCTGGGGAAGAGAGACGTTTCTAATCTAAACTTCAGCACAAGTGATATCATGGATGAAGCTACCAAGATGTCCTTGTTCATACCTTGTTTTCATCATGTCATTCTACACACTATTTCCAAGCCCTTCTCAGAAGACAGAGACCATTCTGTAGGCCACAAGAAACTCTATGTGGTATTGAGGCCTATCTGCCCAGACATTCTGTACCACTGGGTCCTTGTGACTTCTCTGAGATTCTACTCCCCTCCCCCCCCAAAAAAGGAGCCAGGCTGCCTCTCTCCTAGCTGAGGTATCTCACTACCTCCACCCTCCTCTAGAGTACCTTGATTGGCTCTCTTTCCCAACTTCCCATAATAGTCACCTTCTTCTTCCTTTTCCCATAGGCTCTACTTGCCCTACTCCTGCCCCAAATCTTAATTTGGTCTCAGACCGGAAGCTTTATTCTGAATCACCCAGCCCTACCACAGACAACCCCCTCTGGCATACAACCCTTGGCACTCTGCCTTGCACTCTAGGTGCACACATCCAGGTCCTGTTGCTACCTACTGCTGGACTGCTCACACCACACCCCTATGGTAAGGGAGATCATTCCAAAACTCACAGGTCAAGGCTACAGTTGTCTGGTCCAATGAGGCAAGGCTATTATGTTTGCTTATATTCTTTCATCCCTAAGAGCCAAGCTTTAAAAATTCAGAAGCCAAGAATTGCAACCCTCTAAACTCCTGGATTCTGCTGCATCTTGGGATCTTGGGTTTCTTCAAGGAAACAAAGAATTATCCAGCTTTCTGGATAGAGCAAAATTCAAAAAAAAAAATTGGAGGGATGAAGGATGGTAGAGGAGTCTTAAAAGATATTTCAAAATATTGCCATGGACATACGAAGCTGAGAATGAGGGCTTCACTCATGTTAAGCTATTGTGTTTCATTAATAGCCTTTGTGTGTGACTTATCCTAGGGAGACATGAATAAGACATCCACAGACCAAAGAAACAATTCTACCCTAGGCTAGCTTAGGGAACCAGTAAGTCTGTTGGGGTTCCCTACAGAAGTAGAGGCGAGGGGCTACTTGCAGGAGCACGGATAACTCAAAGGCAGCTGCATCGATTAAAATGTCTCACCAGCACAAGTGAAGACTCACAGAAGGCGGTGACCCTGGAGCTCCTTGAATGTCTTGCTTATAAGATCAGCTTATAGAGCAGTCTGTTTTGTCCAACAACTGTTACTACTTATGAAAACGTGGAGGGGGCCTTGTGGATCATATAAGTTTCAGGAACTTCCTGATACTTGTAAATTTTGTTTACTTTCTGAGACTTAATGGACGCATTTTGTATACTGTTATCCTTGCCGAACCCTGTGGGAAAGGGTGCAGGCTCCTCGGGATGGCACCTCCCTCTAAAAACAACATAAATCCTAAAAGCTAAGATTGTTTATTCTGTGTCTCCCACAAATACCCACATTTGCAAGAACTACTAAAAAGCAAGAAGAGTAGTCTCCCTCTGCTTAAAGATGTGTCTCTCACCCAGCCACTGGGATCCTGAAAAGGAGTCCCGGCTTGCCCTGGATGAATGTGGACAGCCCAAGTTATAAATATGGGTCTCCCGCGTCTGCACGGGAAGAAAATGCAAAACATTCGAAGTTCTAGTAGGCTAAATACTCTTTGTGATCCAGGATCACCCACAAGGCATGAGAGTGTTTCCTGTGGCAGGCAAGGGTGTAGCAATGTGTAACACACACAGCTCCTGCCACTCATCACCTGCTGACACTCGTTTCATAACATCCGGCACATTCCTGGTGTTATTTCAGAAAGAAACGAGCCAACCCGGTCCTCCCCTCCCTTAAACTCTCTCACAGCCTGACTAAACCAAACAAACCGCTGCAACTGGCCTGAGTTTCAAGTCAGTGACCTACTCGGGTGGGCAGGACCTGCGCCTCAGGGTTGGAGAGGGCGGGGCTCCAGGGGGCTGGCTCCAGGAGAGGGACACAGTGGGCAGGACTTTGGGGGCGGGGCCCTGGGGCGAGCCTCTGAGCTGTCTCGTCGAAAAGCGAAAACCTGAGGCCTAGGCCGTTTGCACCATCGACCTCGCTGTTTCTTGGCTGCAATGGCCATGGTCCCCGGCCTAAGAGCCTTTGGGGTGAAGGGGACCAGCTGGCTCTGGCGCAGCCGGTTGGCCCCTCTCTCCGCCGGCTTCTGCAGCCCGGGGTCAGCAGCAACCGCGCGGCCGGAGTCGGAGCCACGGCCCACTAGCATGCGACAGCTGGACGGAATCAGGTCAGCCTGCGGGCAGTGCCAGGGCTCGGGATAAACAGGCCTCGCCGCCACTAACCCTGAGTTATCAGTCATTGCTCGTCTTTTAGATTTCATTTCGAAAAAAAAGAAATATTTGGTGGAGGAATCCTTGCACACAGCGTTTACAGGTGTCCCTTCCCTGTGCACGCTAGTACAATGCACGTGGAAGGGTTGTAAGTGCAACTGCCTGGTGGCCCCCTGAGCCCTCAGGGCTACCGGGCCCAGTCGCCAGTCATTTCTGAACGTTTCTGCTGGTGTGGGCAGCACAAGCACCCCACCCACTGTTGCTATGGTCTCCAAGAAAACCCACCACGAAAGAGATCCATGGTCTTTACAAACTTCGGCAGGCTGCAGGGTAAAGGCATGCGGAAGTGCAGGGTGGGAGCGGGTCACTAAGTAGGATAAAGTGCACAATACCCAGCTCTCTGCCCTTTTGTGCAACAAGCCTAAAAGCCTTAAGGATAAATCAGTGCACAACCTGGACCATGAGTAACAAAGACCCTTTCAGGCCTGACCGTTTGCCTGGCCAGGACAAGGCTATGAAAGGAAACCGGTTTCCATGTTCAAGGGTTACAGGGCTGTATTCTGCAACTCCAGTAAACAGGCTTTCTTAATCCCAGAAGACCATGTCCAACTTTTTAATCCGCGCCTAAAGTCTTAGGTGTTCCCCAAAAAGGATGGAGAGCCAGTCTCTGGCCTTCAACTTTTCCCGAATTTTCCTTTCATCTACCCTCACTACCCCTACTGCCTTAGACGGGCTTAGCACACAGGTCTGCAGATGCGCCTGTATCTGTCTATCCCCTAACTCCCACCGACAACACTGAGTGGCCACCACAGGGAGGCATTTGGGGGGCTCAGTTAACTAAAGTGTATCTTAAAAGGGGTAATCTATACCCTATGGACTCTTTGCTCATCAACAGAGATGGAGACACTCCCCAAGAAAGCCAGAGGAGAGCTCTGAAGTGTAGGGCCCACATAGGGTCCTTTCTTTCCAAGTTTAAAGAACAGCTCTGCTTCTGAAAATATGATCGTAATCTGGGTGTGGTATCACAGGCTTGTAATCCCACTATTTCAAAGGCCGAAGCAGGATGATCCTGAATTCAAAGTCCACCAGGACTACATAGCAAGTTCAAGGCCAGCCTGAGCTACATAGTAAGACTAATCACCTCTGCCCCCAAAAAACAAGTCTGGTCTTATCTGATCAAAAATTCTGACAAAAGATAGGAGACTGAGTCCTTCAGAATTAGACATGAATCGGGAATCAGAAAGGGGGGATGATAAGACCAATTGATTGTAAATCATAGGAATCCTATATTAAGATTCTCCCTGAGTCAAGCATTAGAGCATTTCTATTTTAAGCACTAAGCAGGTGGGCTTGTGCAACTCAGTCACTTCAGTGGTCCCCTTTTAAAACTGTGCCACAGAGCAATAACGCTGTCATGCCATGAGAGCCCAGCTACGAAATAAGTGCTGAGTCAGGCACTCTACGAGGTTTCTAAATCATACAGTGACCTGCAAGGTGGCTATCACCCCTCTTCACAGAGGCAGTCAAGTGCAGAGCCGCCTGTCAGGAGGTAGGTGAGTCAGCAGCCTGAAAGAGATTCACCTCTGCCTCCCAGGTTGTTTCCACTCATGGGCCATCATGGTAGAGAGGGCCTGTGAGACAACTCCAGTCCACCACGTTCAGTAGCATTAGCCATGAAAAAATAAATGGTATTTTACGATGATGATCTTCAGATAGCTCATTGGAGCATTTATAGGGACCCGATTTTACCCATACACGGTTGTTGCCTTGGGAGAAACCTCATCAGGAAGAAATTTCTCCTTGCTGGGGTGTGTATTGCTGATGCTCTCGGCTTAAGGCGGTCCACACTTGGAACTAAGATAGCCATTGGGAGGGCAGAAGCTGGCGAGAGGAGCTTTGATGTCCTGTGAAATGAGGGAGAGTTGCATAGCAATGCGAAATGACTTTCAGGCTCCCGCGTGGGTGACGGGTGACGGAGCAGCAGCTCAGAGAGGGGTAGGTTGGGAGAGGAAAGTGCCCAATGCACACCTTGGTGGAGCAGCGGCCAACGTCAGAGTGAATGCACAGATGCAGAGCTCTGGAGAGAGGCATGAGGGACCAGGGCAAGGGACTGGGAGACGCCAGCACGGAGGGAGCAGTCGATGGCACTGCCACCACTGACGTTGCCTGGGCAGTGTGCACGGAACCCAGAGAGGGCAAAGGATGGAACCGAGGGTCTCCTGTCAGAACCCGGGAGCCCCCCGTAAAAGAAGGCAAGAAGTGACTAGAGAAGAATGAGCCCCTCCCCAGAGAAGACTGTTTCCAAAAGGGGGAGGGGTGCAGGTGGCCCGTGCATCCGGTCCTGGCAATCAGATGATGACCACTGAGAAGGGTGTCGGTGGACTGGTGGGAAAAGAAGTGTGCACGTGGGGAGAACTGTCCGACAGTGTGTCCTGAAGGATGAACGGGATCCATAGGAAGCAGATACCACCAAACAGCCAGGTTCCGCTTGGGCAGGAACATTTCTGTGCCATTTTGCTTAAGGTCTTAGAACTTAATTTAAGCTGATGTCATTGCTGGGGTGGCAGCGTTTTTGTGTGTGCATTACTCTCACATGCATGTGTTCATGTGTGTGTGTGTGTGTGTGTGTGTGTGTGTGTGTGTGTGTGTGTGTGTGTGTGCAGTTGCATGTGTATGTATGTGGAAGCCAGAAGACCAACTTGAGTGGCACCCCTCCCAGGCTGCCCACCTTTTCTTCTGAAACGGGTTCCAAAGTCTGTCCATCTCCACCAGCATTAGGATTCAAAGTACATGTCACAATGCCCCACCAGGAGAGAGAAAAAAAAAGATAATTCTAGAAGTGGAACTCAGGTTCTCATGCTTGCAAAGCAAGAACTTGACTGAGCCGTCTCCCCAGCCTTGGGGTGACAGGGTTTTCTGTTTGCCACCGTGAGCATAGTCACGATTCTACTGAAAGGTTACAAGCAGTCTCCACGACTTCCACAGATAAAGGTATCCGAGGATCAGCAGGTCAGCTGCACATAATTTCTGTACTCAGGAGAGAGGCTGTTTATGAGAAACAAAACAAGCCTACAGCTACCTGGAAGCTGAAGCGAGACTGGGATGATATCCCAAAAGGAATGATTATTCTTATTGTGCTGAGATAAAGTCAGTCGTCTAAGTTTTTTTTTTTTAATTCTCCTAAATGTTATTTATGGAGCATCCAATTGTCCATGCACCAATAAAATAATACCATATTCAGAAAAGAATGAAGGCTTAGAGCACGTGTGGGTGGAGACTGATAGGAAATACAAAGCGTGTAGTGAGAAGCTGGTCTGGTTCACCGCCCATTTCTTAGGATAGCAAACGTAAGACATTTCTATGTAAGGCAGCAAGATGACGATACAGGTGCTTTCACTGTGAAGGTGGGAGGTTTCCAAATAGCCAAGAGGCCCTTTGGGTGCTGTCTCTTTGTGAGAGGCTGCGTCTGTTGTACAGGTTTGTCTGTCTGCTCTTTGTGTATCATCTGTTCTCAGGCTGCACAGATTATCCTGCAGACGTACCCCACTGGAAACCCTTACAAATGCTGCAGTGGGTGTGCCCTGGCAGCCAGCCTCCACGGCCTTTTCTTTGGGGTGGGTGGGAGGAGACGGGGACGGAACGTCCATCCTTGGCTCCTTTCCTAACCTCATTCTAAAGAACACCGCCTGGAAATAAGTTGCTGGTAGAGCCTGTTTGTCAGGTTCCCCTAGCCCTGCCACCTGAAACTCACATCCTCTGTGGGCAGAGATGATGTGGGGACTGTTGTGACTCACCCTGGCTGTGGCGGTGGCAGTCAGGTGTCTGACAGTACATGTGAAGAGAGGGGGGAAAAAAGAGCAAAAACAAATCAAGGGACCAGAGAGAAAAGGCTAGCCTACCTTTCAGGTCATCTTTTTTTCTTGTTTTTCCTCAGCTGTCACTCCAGAGTGCTGACAGACCCTCTAAATTGGCACTAAGCCCTGGCAGTTCTCTATTCTTGGGTTTCAAAATTGCTCCTAAATTAGAAAGGAATTGCAGGGGTCCTTGCTTGTTTTGACTGGTTCATGACCCAGGGACTATCGAATGCTTTTCACAGGAACATTGTCTTAAGCAATCCCAAGAAGAGGAATGCGCTGTCACTGGCCATGCTGAAATCTCTCCGAAGTGACATCCTTCATGAAGCTGAAAGCAAAGACCTGAAAGTCATTATAATTGCAGGTATTTCTCTGAAGCCTGTTGTTAGTGGTCCGTGGTGCTCACATAAGGTTTCTCAAAACGTGTTGATGAGCTGGGACTCCCTTCCCTCCCTTCACTGGAGAATTGCTCTGACCCCCTTTGAGGAACTGAAAACTTCTGTGATGCTGTGGGCTCCGTCCTTGTTAGCTGTGGGGACTGTAGCAAAGGCCTTGGCTCAGTGAAAGCATGGCTTCTCCTTGTCATCAAAACCAGACAGTCTGGGAGCTGAGGAGATGGCTCAACTGGCGAAGCTCTTAGCCTCACAAGTGCCAAGCCCATGTAAGAAGCTGGGCGTGGTCTTGCAAGCCTATAATCCCAGACATGGAGGTTGGGGGATTCGAGGCGAAGACAGGTGACTCCCTAGAGCTCACTAACCGTAGCCTACTTGGCGAAGTTCCAGGCCAATGAGAGACCCTGTCTCAAGGAAAAATGGGAGACACCTGAGCCATGACACCCAAGGCTGTGCTCTGACTGCACATGAACATGTACATATATGTGCCCATCCACACATGAACGCATATGCACACAGGATTAAAGAATCAGGATTGGGATGCAGCTCAGTGGGAGAGCAATTGCTAGCACAGACAATCCTCAGACCACACACACACAAATTAAGTTTAAAACAGAATTTTAAATTTAAAAATCTCAGTTTCTTTATGGACCTTATAAGATGGCTTTAGTCACTAATCCCCTTCATAAGTCACTGGCAGCTAACAGGCTGGCTATTGGGACTGCCGATTGGTTTGTCTCTTCTGTTTGCTAAATCTTGCTCATGTCCCAGTCTGTAGTGTCATCTTCAATGGTGCCAAAAAGTGTGCCCTCCTTTGTCCATTTCTTCCCTTCCTTTTTCCAATAAGATTTTTTTTAATGTGTATGGATGTTTTGTGTATGTATGTCTGTGCACCACTTTTGATGCCTGGTGTCTGCAGACGCCAGAAGAGCATCTCAGATCTCCCGGAACTGGCATGACAAATAGTTGTGAGCTGCCACGTGGGTGCTGAGATTCAAACTCAAGTCCTGTGGTAGAGCAGCCAGTGATCCTAAGTGCTCAGCCATTTCTCTAGCCCCTCTAGTAGAAATTTTCATAGAATGATCATTTTGAAGCCGGAGAGGTGGCCTGGAGGTTAAAAGCAATTACTACTCTTACAGCGGACCTGAGTTTGGTTCCCAGCACTCATGTTGGGCAGCTCACACCCACCCCATAATGCCAGCTCCAGGAGATCCAGGGCCTCTGGCCTCCAAAGGCACCTGCACTCACACACACACACACACACACACACACACACACACACACACACACACACACACTTAAAATAAATTCTTAAAAAGATAAAATCATTTCATGCGTATTACGATGGCATAATAAAAACCACACCAGCACCTTCATGCACCCCGAGAAAAATACAACAGACACTGTTTGCTGACGCTTTGCTTGTGTGAGCATCAGTGTTTCCTGAGACACTCAGAGCTACCTTCTTAGCAACAGCCAAATAGGAATGTTCACCTGTTTTGTATGGTAACGGGAAAAGAAGTTGGAATTAGTAGCTTGCAGCAGACCTATGAGGCGTGACCTGGGCCCAGCAAAAAGGCAGCTCACATTTTAACGACACCACTTTCTCACTTGTGAAAGCAGGCTAACGTCGCCTGTCACAAGGGGAATGGGAGGGAATGTTCTCACTTACCAGTGGAGTGTCACTTCGTTGTTAAGGATAATGGTGGCGGCAGCCACATCCTCAGCTCCTTTCTGTAAAATCAAGAGCCAAAGCCAGGTAGCTCCCATGTTTCTGTTCACACTCTGACCTATGCTGGATGAGAGGGGCATTGCTTAAGGCATGGCAGATTTCAAAGGACCTGCACAAGTCGATATACTTAGGCCAGACCGAGTGCAACGCTGAAATCATCAGACCAGACAGAAGTTCCTAAAAGGCGCTGATCCCGGAGTCTTCTTGTGTCACTGAGCTTTGCCACTTGGCTACCTCTGATTGTTGACTGGTTTTTTTTTTTTTCTTTTTTTCTTTTCTCAACTGGCAACACTCACAGCTGAGGGCCCTGTGTTTTCTTCTGGGCATGATTTGAAGGAGCTGACAGATGCACAAGGCCGCGATTATCACACTGAAGTGTTTCAGACCTGCTCTGAGGTAAGCTAAGGTGACAGCCAGCATTGCAAGCATGAAAACCATTGTATTAAATACCGAGGCAGCCTTCTAGTTTCAGATAAGAGTCTATCCAGGGGGCCCACTCTAGAGAATGGCTACCAGATGCTCTGTAGTTATTGCTGAGTTCCTCATCCAAGCGATAATTTGGTTTACACCAGCAGTTCTCAACTTGTGGGTCATAAACCCTTTGAGGGTCAAATGACTCTTTCCCAGGGGTCACATATCAGATATCCTGCATATCAGACATTTACATTACAATTCATAACAGTGGCAAAATTGCAGTTATGAAGTAGCAATGAAATAATTTTATGGTTGGGGTCACTACAGCATGAGGAACTGTACTAAAGGGTCACACAGCACTAGGAAGGTTGAGAACCACTGGTTTAGACTTTTAAGAAGTGACTGTGGGGGCTAGGGAGATGGCTCAGTGGTGAGATCACTTGCTGTACAATCATGAGAGCCTGCATTTGGAGTCCCACATGCCTGTGGAAACTAGTCATGGCGAGACGCATCTGTGAGGGGTGACGGTACAGCAGACTCCTCAGGGTTGCTGCTGCAGAGTACCCAAAAATAGTGAGCTCTGGGTTCAGTGAGGGACTCTGCCTTAAGGAGTCCAGACTGATAGAGCAGGACACCAGACAGCCTCCTCTGGCCTCTGCATGTGTGTACATGGGGAGAGAGAGAGAGAGAGAGAGAGAGAGAGAGAGGGAGGGAGGGAGGGAGGGAGGGAGGGAGGGAGGGAGGGAGGGAGGGAGGGGGGGGAGAGGGAGAGGGAGAGAGAGAGAGAGAGAGAGAGAGAGAGAGAGAGAGAGAGAGAGAGAGAGAGAGACTAAAACAGTATTGTCAGTGGAAAAGAGGGCATTCATAAATAGAAAAAATTACACTGCTTTTAAATGTTTAGCCAACCCTTCTAATTATCACCTCCAAAGGAGGAAATTAACCTCGTCAATTTTATTTTCTGTATGTGGGGGTCCGAGGCTGACACCAAGTGCCTTCCTCAATCGCTTGTGTTTTGAGATTGGGCTCTCACTGAAGGTAAACTCAGGGATTAGGCTAGACATGCTGGCCAGTGAGCTTCGGGATCCTCCAGGCTCCACCTCCCCAGCGCTGGGATTGCTGGTGCATTCAGGACGAACTCACGGGTCCAACCTCACGGGTCCTCATGCTTGCACTTGCGCTTGCGCAGTAAGCACTTTATGGACTGACCCGTCTACCCCACCGATCAGGTACATTTTTGAGCACAGACTGTTTCCTTTGCCATTCAAAAAACCCATAAGCAGATCAGCTTATCATTTTCTCATTTCACAGGAGGACAAAAAGAAAAAGTGATTCGTTTTCAATTTTATGGAGGAGTAGAAATAAACCAGAGCGAGGACGTAGAGTGTCGATTGTTTTAGAAACAGGGTCTCAGGGTTTGGGGATTTAGCTCAGTGGCCCTGGGTTCGGTTTGCTCAGCTCCGAAGCAGGGGAGCGGAGACAAAATAGAAACAGGGTCTCAAGTAGCTCAGGCTGGCCTTGAAGTTGCTGCACAGCCCAGGCTACTGTTGAACTCCTGATCTTCCTGCCTCCACCACCCAGGCACTGGGATTATAAGCGTGCATCACTTACTCGGCAGAACAAAAAGATTTGGATCTCTTGTTTCTTACGTTAGCATTGTTTGCACAGTATCCTATTTGGTTTGCCAATGTTTGATGCTTTCAAAATCATTTTCCCACTAGGGCTGGAAGTCAGTCGTAGAGCATCTGAGTTCAGTCCACTACACTGAAAAAAAAAAAAAAAAACAAAAAAAAACAAAACAAAAACATTTTCTACCAATTCCCAGTATACCTGGCTAAAATAGAAAAATATCTAAAAGAACCAGTACATGCCTTGTAACCTCCTGAAAGCAGCTGCTTTTTATCTGTCTGCTGCAATATCTGGATGAACAGAGACCTGAACAGGTTAGCAGAGGGCTACACGGCAGGCTGGGCTTCTTCAGGAGGTAAAGGCCTGGTTTCTTGGAAGCTTCTAGTCAATTCATGCCTCTGGCTCATCAGAAAAGATTCAGCGCATAAATAGGACTTAGTCCTAAGCGTCAAACAAGAATTCAAGGATACTGGTTCTTTTGAATATTTCTTTTTGGTTTTTTGTTTGTTTGGTTGGTTGGTTGGTTTTTTTGAGATGGAATTTTTCTGTGTTGTTTTGTTACCTGTCCTGGATCTCGCTCTGTAGACCAGGCTGGTCTCGAACTCACAGAGGTCCTCCTGCCTCTGCCTCCCGAGTGCTGGGATTTAAGGCGTGCGCCACCACTGCCTGGCTCTTTTTGTTATTTTTAATATGTCTATGTGTGTGGAGGGGGCAGGTGCACATGATTGCAGGTGCCCACAGAAACCAGAGACATTGGATCCCCTGGAAGCAGAGTCCCATGCAGTGCGGGCCACCCAACAGGGTGCTGGGAACTGAACTCTGGAAGAGAGACTCAAGCTTTTAGCTGCTGAGCCATCATCTGGCCCTGAGTGCTGTTCTCTAAGACTAATTCTGTGAAACTCAAACCATCTTGGACAAATGTGGACAGCAGGAACTTTGTAAAATTTCAGCTTCCTCGTGTGATCTGAGAGCAGAGTGGGCCAAGGCTTCACAGTTCACGCACAGGACAGTCGGATTCTAAAAGGCGGATCCAGACCTGCCTTGGCTTGGCCTCTCTGAGCTAGAATACGATTGTTACGACCACAAATTCTGCCTGACAGCTAATGACTTACCAATCAGGAGGACAAACAAAAAGAATGTGAGGAACTAGTTATGGGAGAGCTTAAGGGACTTTCTGGGCACTGACAGGGTGGCCTAAAGACTCATTTCTTGTCTCTCTTCGTCCAGTGCATTGACAGCTGAAGTGTCTTTCCCTGAAGACCCCTCCTTCCTCCCTGTCCTCACCAATGAGATGAGAGTGAACTGCTTTAGAAAATAATGTGGGGAGAAAAATAAACTAATGCGGACCCTCAGTGAAGCCATTATATGAGGCCAGGGCAGAGCTCAGCGGATGCCACCTTTTGGGGTGGGCAGAGCTCAAAGCAGTCCTTAATTCAGGAACATTAGAAAGACGGTATCAGTTCTTGACTCCCGTGGCTTTGATTAGCCTGGCTTGTTTTTTGTTTGTTTGTTTGTTTTTGTTTTTGTTTTTAATCTAACTTCCCTTTGTCTTTTCTGAACTGCCCTCTGGCTTCATTTAAAATATTTTAATTGATGAAAATAAGTATGCATTATAGAAGATTTTTAAAAATTAAAAAACAAAAGATACTCTTACCACAGTATGACCACACCAACCCAGAAAGAGTTTAATATTTTGCTATATTCACTTTTAGTGATTTTTCCCTAAGCACATAATTGTTTGAATGATCTTAGGTGGGTATGCTTATAGTATACAATTGTGTATATTACATGATTACAACTGCATGCTTAGTAAGCCAGGTAGCGTTTTATAATATACTCCAGGTTTGCTAACGTATGTAACCGCTGTGTTGTGTTAGGTTAGGGCTGATATTATACCCATCTTAGTGCTGTGAAAACTGAAGGGTCACGAGGCTTGTTCAGAGTTATTAGGTAGTGAGTAGTTGCAGATTGAGCATCAAATCCCAGCAGGCTCGCTGCATATCACCGTATCAGCTCTAAATCACCCAAATGTTTTCTTTTCCTCCTTAGAAATGTTCATTTACTGAGAAGGCTGCATGTGTTGAGTAGCTGTAGTTCAGTGTGCATAGCCACGTTGTCACCTTCACATGGTTGTGTTGTCACCTTCACATGGCTCTAAAGAAATAACTGAGGCAATGAATCTATGTTTTAAAAAATGGGTTTTGACATTCAAATTTAAGATTTGGTAACTTGGGGCAGGGCATGGTGGCGCACGCCTTTAATCCCAGCACTCAGGAGGCAGAGGCAGGTGGATCTCTGTGAGTTCGAGGCCAGCCTGGTCTACATAGTGAGTTCCAGGAGAGCCGGGGCTACGCAGAGAAACCCTGTCTGGAACACACAAAGATCTGTCGCTCTGTTGCTCTGAGCTTGTTGAAGGTGTGGATGACCAGGGGAGGACTTGCATGCAAAAAAACAACAACAACAAAAAACTACTCAAATCCCAAATCAGGAAGCAGAGAGAAAAGGGAGAGAAGGAAGTCAAGAGCCCACAGTTCCTTTACATTTTTTAGATTTATTTTTTTTAATTTTAATTTATAAAACTTTTAAATTTTAATTTACTTCAGCATTTCCTTTTTTTAAAGATTTATTTATCTATTATGTGCACAGTGTTCTGCCTGCATGTATGCCTGCAGGCCAGAAGAGGGCACCAGATCTCATTACAGATGGTTGTGAGCCACCATGTGGGTGCCGGGAACCGAACCCAGGACCTCTGGAAGAGCAGTCAGTGCTGTCAACCCCTGAGCCGTGTCTCCCCCTTAGATTGATTTTTATTTTATGTGTATGAGTGTTCTGTCCTCAGGTATCTGAGTGTACCGTGTGTGTGCAGTGTGCGAGGAGGTCAGAAGAGGGCGTTGGGACCTGTGCAACCGGAGTTACAGATGGTTGTGAGCCACTGTGCGGGTGCTGCGAAGCGAACCCTGGTCCTCTGCAAGAGCAGGAAGTGCTCCTAACTGCTGCTCTAGCTCTCCAGCCTCACCCCAATTCCTTTTGAGGGAATGTGCTAATGACCCAAGGACCTCCCAAAAGACCCACTCTCCCTGGCTCAATCATCTCCTGATGACACCACCCTGAGATAAATCTTTAATGGGTGGACTTTTGGAGAACATCCACCCAAGCCATAGTAAGCATTTACTTGTAAAATTGTTTGACTTATTATTATTATTAATAGTGTGGGGGGGCATGGTGTGTGTGGGCACTCATGCCATGACACAAGTATGGAAATCCGAAGACAGCTTCACGGAGCCACTTCTCTCCTTCCACCTTTATGGGGTTTGTGGGTTTTGAACTTGTCTCCGGGCTAGCTAGCACGGCCAGCGCTGCCCACGGAGCCGTCTCACTAACGGCCAGCTTACTCATTTTTGTACACTTGAATCGTTTCTAGTTTCTTCTGCTGTAAGGTAATGATCTGGGGAACAATTTGACCATAGAGCTCTGCCTGTTTCAGAGTTCTTACAAGGAGGATTCCTGGACCAGAGGTATAAGAAAACAATGCTCGAAATGAAGGGAAACCTTTTTTTTTCTTTGCAACAAGGCTTTCGAAGGCGCCTGAGTTCTTCCTCTCTTTACTCCAGTTCTCTCTAGGAACAAGACCCATCACTAACCTGCCCCCACGGCCTTCTGTGAAAGGCAGGAACCAGTTATATTCACAGTTAATTCTGTATGCATTTATACATATGTGCATTTTTCTGGGAACAGAGTAATTAACATTTATCAAAGTCTTAAAACATGACCCCTGCCCTCCCAAAAGCATCATAAAAAGCTACTATCAAATATTAAGGGATTCCCTTAAATACACAAGCATGAGCCTTTAATGATGAGGATAGGTTTGGAGAAAGGCATGGGTAGATGGTTTCATAATCCAGCCAACAGCAGACTGTACTTACACAAACATTGACAGTACAGTCTACACTACATGAATATGGTATAGACGGGATAACCTGCCCCACTCAGGCTACATGGCATACAGACAGTAGAGCCCATTTGACAACCTTCCAGAGTGTGTGGTATGTAGATGGGACAGCCAGCTCTGCAAACCTGGTTACATTCCTTAAAGATGGCAAAGCCAGCTTTACACCTAGAAAATATAACGTAGATATGGAAAGTCTGTTCCACACTTATGATATGTGGTATATAGACGGTGAAGCCTAAAAGCCTGCTCCACACCAGGCCACATGGCATATAGAGGGGAAAGCCTACTCTACATCTAAACTAATGACATATAAATGGAACAGCCAGCTCCACACAATAGCAAATAGATTTTTTGTTTTGTCTTGTTTTTCCAGACAGGGTTTCTCTGTGTAGCCTTGGCAGTCCTGGAACTCACTCTGTAGACCAGGCTGGCCTCAAACTCACAGAGATTCACCTGCCTCTACCTCCCAAGTGCTGGAATTAAAGGCGTGTGCCACCACCATCAAGCAGTAAGTAGATTTTATACAAGGTTAAATGAAGCCCAGGTGGACGCTACAGCAGTGGCGAGCTGAACACAAGCTGTATGGGACAGTGTAGTAGACTATGCAGTCAGGCTTCCAGGAAACTTTTTAAAAAGTAGAAGGAATACACTCTACAGTGACTATTTTTTTTTTTCCAGACAGGGTTTCTCTGTGTAGTCCTGGCTGTTCTGGAATTCACTCTGTAGACCAGGCTGGCCTCAAACTCACAGAGATCTGCCTGTCTCTGCCTCTGCCTCCCGAGAGCTGGGATTAGAGGCATGCACCACCACCACTCAGCCTACAGTGACTATCTTTAAAATGTGTATTCATAAAATCTTGGGTGGCTGAGGCAGGGAGATCACAAATCCAAGGCCTCCCTGGGCTACAGAGTAAGTTTGGAAGCAAACCTGGGCAACTGGGTGAGAATTTGTCTCAAAATATAACAGAAGGGCTGGGGATGTGATGCAGTGATAGGCACAAGGTCCTGTGTTCTATCCTCAGCACACCAAAACCAAAATCTAGTGCAGTGAGTCTGTGGAGCGGCAGCATGGTATCCATATCACTGAGGATTATGCATTGCTCTTTACTGTACTGCTGACATTCCCGCCACTTGCAGTCTCCTAACACTCAACACTGTGCTGTAGTGTTAGGGTGAATGGTCACTTATGTGGTAGGAATTATCAGTCCTGTCGTAATCTAGATTCCATCCTCAGGAACTCCAGCCACCGCTTTTGAGACAGCGTCTCTACTTGGACTGGAGCTCCCCAATTAGGCTAGACCATCTGACCAGTGATGCCTAGGAATCCTCCTGTCTCCACCTCCCTAGCACTGGGGTCATAAGCATAGGTCCCCATGCCAGGCTCTGTGTGTGTGTGTGTGTGTGTGTGTGTGTGTGTGTGTGACAGGGGATTGAACCAAGGACCTCACACCAAGCACTTATCTAATCAGTTATCTCCCCACCTAGCCATCATAATCTTCTAGGACCGCCATCATATGTACAGTTTGTACTTGACCAGAAACATCGTTATAAGTGCCTGACTATATAATTGGTTATTTTAGGGGGGAAAAGCCCGACAAATATCAAATGTTTAGGAATATAAAAGACAAGTTTCCCAGGCAAAACTCTTCAACTCTGTGAAGGTCGTTTTTCTTTCAATTGCTGCCTTGGGGAAAAGCCCAGATGTAGTTCCTATCTCCCCTCCCAACTTGCCAAGGTTCAAAGAGCAATAATTTAGAAATCGAAGTTGTCATGGCAACACAATCTGTTTAGAGTGTCAAGAAAAAAATAAGCTTCAAATATGTTAGAGCTCTGGCCCTTTGTGGTGGTGGGGGTCACTCGAACATAACTGTGTCTCTCCTCTCTGTGCCAAGGGCTCCGTCTCAGGAATTTTGCTTATTTTTATGACAGTAGGGTGTCCCCCCCTCCCCACTCTGATGGAATTGAGAGAGTATACTCTGCAGCATGGGAATTTAAGAAGTAATTACTAAGAAAATTGCCTTCGGGTCCCCTTCCCACCTTAATTTTCCAAGGAAGCACCAAATGCCAATTTCAGACTTTTAACACAAGGGCTGCCCAGAGCTGTGGAGAGCTGACAGTTTGCGAAGGGGTTTGCTTGCTCCCCAGAAACAAAACCCCATGGTTCTCCATCAGGGTATTGGGGAGGCAGGAGGCAGGAGGAGACAATGGGCTCAGATCCACTGCCACCAACTTCCCATCATTCTCTGGCTTTAGGCTGAATGGCTCCCCACCCACCCAGCTTCACGTCCTTGTTGCTAAGTAGGGCTCTTCGCTCATGGGTTTCCAAAACACCAAATCCTGCAAGTCTGCTTCAACATGGAGACGTAATGCAGGTGGACAGGGCTCCGCTTCTGCCCCAGACTCTGATGAACTGGTACATGAGACACATGCTCTGTGGAGTCAGTCACGGGAGATGTCAGGTTCACAGCTCTTCACACTTGGTGGAAATGAAATGGGTGTATTTGTCGTACAGGTCATGATGCTGATACGGAACCATCCGGTCCCCATCATTGCCATGGTCAATGGCTTGGCCACAGCTGCCGGCTGCCAGCTTGTTGCCAGCTGTGACATTGCTGTGGCGAGCGACAAGTCCTCTTTTGCCACTCCTGGGGTGAATGTGGGGCTTTTCTGCTCCACCCCTGCGGTTGCTCTGGGGAGAGCAGTGCCCAGGAAGGTAAGTGAGCTGCCTTTCAGTGCTCTCAGATTGCAGAATTAGCTTGGGAAAAGTATCTCTAAGGGAGTGGGGAGATGCTTGCCACACGAGCATGAAGACCTGAGTTCAATCCCCAGAATCCACATTAAAAAGTCAGGTGTAGTTGTGAACACTTGTAATCCTGGCTCTGGGAAGGCAGACACAGGCAGATCCCTGGAGCTTACTGGCTAACCAGCTTAGGCTCCTGGGTGAGCTCAGCTCAGTGAGAGACTTTGTCCCATCTACACAAACAAACACGATGTATTGTACTTGAGAAACACTACCAGAAGTTAGCCTTGGCTTTTACACACACACACACACACACACACACACACACACACACACACACACACTCACATTATCTATCTTCTATATCAAACATTCTGCCCAAAGGCCGCTAATGTTCCTTCTGTGCTGTTCCTGTAGCATCAAACACCAGGTATCAGCCTGTGAACTTGCCACATGTCAATCTTACAAGCCAATTGTAGGACTGTTTAGGTTTTTTTTTTTTTTTTTTGGTTTTTCGAGACAGGGTTTCTCTGTGTAGCTTTGAGCCTTTCCTGGAACTCACTTGGTGGTCCAGGCTGGCCTCGAACTCACAGAGATCCACCTGGCTCTGCCTCCCGAGTGCTGGGATTAAAGGCGTGCAACACCACCGCCCGGCCTGTTTAGGTTTTTTATTTTCAGGAAAAGCATAAGCTTTGTGTGATCTTCTTTGAAGTGCAATTGAGGCAGCTTTGTTACACAAAATGGCTGCCCACGGGACACAATCAGCACCATGCTGACACATGTTCACCCTCAAGGGGCTGAGGCTGAATCTCTGGCTAATGACTTCTCGACAACCTTCCTCAGTCCAGACGGGATTTAAAGTTGCTGATTTACGGTGTTGAGTTCACGATGGTTAGACCAGGACTGTCCTGTCCATGCTGTGTGACTCTGCCCAAGGAGCAGCTGCGTGTCAGGGCTGTCTTGTCATCACAGATGACAGTCAAGTCCATTTCCCTTGTAAAGCTTTCTTCCTTCCGCGACCTCACATAATAGCATTTAGTGAGCATCCCCGGAGTGGAAGACAACAGTGTCTGTTCTAGGAAAAAGGCATTCCGTTCTCAGTGGGAAATCTGGGAAAGGAGGGCCGACATTACATATGCAGCAAGCAAAGAAGTGAACTGCTTCCTAGCATGGATTCTCTGGTTTTGAAACAAGTACAAAAATTAACAGTGGCTCACATGCCTGAGGCACAAAAGAAATGAGACCCACAGGGAATCTAGCGGTCGAGTTGAGACATTTCAGGGAGGATTTCTTCCTTCCATAGAACCTCTTGTTACTTACCACAGAAACGTGCTCGTGGGGAGATTCTGTGGTTACCTACATGCCAACGTGCTGACTACAGGTACACGCTGCGAGAGGCGATCGTTTGCTCAAGTGTCTTCCACAAGGGGGATGTTTTTGATAATTCTAAGATAGACATTTGCCTTAAGTGCATCCATATTTATTTAGTGAATATTTCTTAGGTCATTGCTTTGTTCCCAGACATTAAATCAAAATATGTTACAGATCTCTGGTTAGACTCACAGACTGTCTTGTGACTGCAGAGAAAACCATGAAGCCCCTCAGAGCTAGAAATTGTTGCACTGGTTTATTCTCTTCCAACATGTGACTTGCTGGAAGGTTCCATGGTCAAGGCATTTAAAGCCTTTAAATCAGCCCTATTGTCAGGAACGCTTTCTAAATCGGGGCTTATCAAAATTCCTAGAAACTTCATACTGTATTGTGTTTATCAAACTTTGCATCTGTTTTTTAAAACGGGGAGGAAAAATGTAGTCAAAATATCCCTTAAATTCCATGGAAGCCCAGTTCCCGGAACAGCATTGCACAATGTCCAGTGTGATAGATGAGGGCAGGGACATTGTGTGAACCAGGATGGCTTTTTCCATCCCAAAGTTATTTTTGTCAGGACAATCTGGCCTGGGGCTGGGGAGAAGGCTCAGTCAGCAAAGAGCCCACTGCTCAAGCATGAGGACCCGAGTTAGATCCCAGAACCCACGGATCAAAGCCTGGTAGTGCACACTTGGAATCCCAGAGCTGGGGAGGCAGAAACAGGAGCAGCCCTGGGGCTCACCGGCCAGCCAGTCCAAGCAACCAGCAACTTCTCCCCACTGAGGGCTCTGCCTCAAAAAACGAGGTGAACAACTCCGGAGAAACAACACCCAAGGTTGACTTCTGACCTCTGAGCACACATGCACACATGCACCCACTCAAATGCACGCACACACAACACAGATGTGCGTGCAGAGTCACGTCCTACATAGATCTCTGGTCTCTCTTCGTGTTCTGACCCCAGAAGAAGACTGAACTTGAACAAACAAACACACTGTGCACGTGCCCATCATGTGCTGGTGACAGGTGACTGTCCCTGTGTTTATCCACAGAGAAGCAAGCAGCAGACGCTTTTGCAAACTGTCCTGGCCAGGAAGTCTCTGCCCTTTCCCCATAGATTGGGACAGCATGTGTTGGACTCTAGTTCCCTCTGCTGGACACCCTGGGGAACTGCTCCACTGTGTTGGAAAGCGAAGACGGCTGTTTGTCTACTGGGCAAAAGTCATAGAGTTGAGTCTACTGTGCCAGGACATGAATTATTCACCTTATTTTTAAAGTCTCTCTCTTTTTGCATGAATTAAATAATGCATCTTCATTGTGCCATATAAATACCCTGCGGATTCCAGCTGCTCCCTTCCCCAGTCAGGGCTGGCCACACGCACTCAGAGCCAGTGCCTCAGGCAGTGGGTATCCCAGGAGAGCTGGAGAAACTCTGAGTCCCTTTCCCAACACCAGTCCCTTCGCCACAGTAGACATCCCCGCTTCCATGTACCTACCCACTTGACTGTGTGTTTGCGCACCTGCCAGTCTAACTGAGAGTGGGATTTAGAAGCTGGAAAGAAAATTAGACCTCACCCAGACCACAGCCCCCAGAGACTCACTCCCGACACATACTGTCCAGCAGCGATGTGTGTGCCCAGCAGAATTTAGGAAATGCACTTTAAAAGCACCTAAGAATCTGAGTGACTTTCCTCAGGTTCCCAGTGAGATGAGGCCGGTGATCGAGTGTGTCACCTGTGGCACCCCTGGTGGGCTTTGCAGCAGCGTATCCTACCCTCCCCCGCCCCATTTCTCTTCCACACTGCAGCTCCTCAACCCACATTTCATCATCTCTAGGGGACAGACACCGTGCTCATAGCCTGAACGTGGCGTTCTCCCAAGTTCATATGTTGAAATGCGACCACCAACGTGACAGCCATCAGAGGTGGGGCCTGGGGAAGTGATTGTTAGGTCAAGAGTAGAGCCCTCACGTTGGGATTAGTGCCCATAGAAGAGGAGTACCGGGTTGCCGACTCACCGTTTCCTTCCCATGTAGGACACAGTGATATTTCAGTCTCTGAACCTGGAAGCAGGTTCTCACTGGACGCTAGTTCTGCTGATGCCTTGAACTTGGGCTTACAACCTCCAGAGTGTGAGACATTCCTGTTCCTTCTAAGCTACACAGTTTTATGGTATTTTGTTCTAGCAGTCTGGATAGACACGGGGCCCACCAAAATGATAAGCAGAGAACGCCAGAATTGCCGCAGCACACTGTCCCCTCATGTGTGACCATTCTACCTTACTGACTGGTCCAGGTGCTGTGAAACTTAGAAGCCAGAGTCAGAGTCACGGATATGTCCGGTTGGAATGGGGATGTTAATGTTAGCCACTCCCTTTACTGGTATCTCCTGAGAATCCAGCACTGAGTCAGTGTCTACTGAGAATCCAGCACTGAATCAGAGTCTACTGAGAATCCAGCACCTGTTATCTGTAATAGCCACCAGAGCGTGGAGGATAGGGGTGCTCATTCCCATGTCCAAAAGAGGCCTCAGACACTGAAGGGCCTGCTTAACCCTCACAGTTCTACACAGGTGTGTCTGACTCCAAACCTGTCCTTTCTATGAGATCATCTGAGGTCCAGGTTCAGCCACAGCCTCAAATCCATCTTGTTATTTTAATGCAAAACAAAACAAAACAAAAAAACCTGAAATAAAGAACTACTGACTTACCAACTTCTTAGAATGACCAAAGAGGAGCCGCCCTGGACGGCAGTGTGAGTTGATTGGGGGAAAGGTGAGAGTATGTATTTTTCTTGTTCAGCTGAAGTTTCTAGGGAACACGCAATGTAAAAACTTGGACCCCTGAGCCGGGCGGTAGTGGCGCACGCCTTTAATCCCAGCACTCGGGAGGCAGAGCCAGGCGGATCTCTGTGAGTTCGAGGCCAGCCTGGTCTCCAAAGCGAGTTCCAGGAAAGGCGCAAAGCTACACAGAGAAACCCTGTCTCGAAAAACCAAAAAAAAAAAAAACAAAAAAAAACTTGGACCCTAAGTTAAGAGTGTGCTGCTTAGTTCGAAGCCAGCCTAGTCTACAAAGCAAATTCCAGGACAGCCAGGGCTCTGTTACAGAGAATCCTGTCTTGAAAAACAAAAACAAACAAACAAAAAGATTGTGCTGATTAGCTGGGAAAACTACCTGCTTTCCAGTGAATGTCACCCCTAACCTCGTGAACAAAATGTACACACGTCAATATGCTGTAAAAGCATATGGCTTCTTCAGGCAGAGAAAGACACTGACCCCCAGAGAGGGGCATAAACTCCGCAGGATGAATTAGGAACCCAAAGGCAGGTTAAAAGATCTTTACAGTTCTTCTGACCTTTGACCTTGCTCCAGGCAGGTCTTTCTTGAATATGCAGTGTTAAACCCCATTCATACTTTCTCAGTCTTCCGGGATGAAGGAAGAGAACCCAGGATTGCAGAAACAGATGCGTATTGAGACGTGTGTCCTTCTACAGTCTAATATTTTGTCCTCAAACTTGTGAGCAGCACCCCAGAGTGCTCTGGGCTGCCCTCTTTCAGCCTGCGCCTTAACTCCTAAAGATCCACTGGGTCCCCTTCTCTCCACTGTGTCCAGCCAGGCGCATCTGTGAGTGGCCTTTAAAGGGGTGGATGGAAGGGATCTCCTGGGTTGCCAGGGCCCACTCATCAAATCTGTGGTGCAGCAAGAGGACCCAGAGGGAGACTCCACCCGTTCTGGGCCACTTGTATTTTCTTGGCTCTTGGCATCATCTGATCTTCTCCCTGGCGGGAGTTAGAGGTGTTGACAACATCAAGGGGTGGTAGATGACATGTTGTCACTTGGGGAAACAGATATCTGGGCTGAGGCATGTAGGTAAGTCCGGAGCGTGACTGTCTCGGTACAGGGAAACAGGGATGGGGTCTGAGGAAGGCATGGGATATGAACTGTGTTTTATTGTCCTTCCCTCAGGTGGCCCTGGAGATGCTTTTTACTGGGGAGCCCATTTCTGCTCAGGAGGCCGTCCGCCACGGCCTCATCAGCAAAGCGGTCCCAGAGGGGCAGCTGGAGGAAGAGACCATGAGAATAGCGAAGAAGATTGCCTCTTTGAGCCGCTCCGTGGTGGCATTAGGCAAGGCTACCTTTTACAAACAGCTGTCCCAAGACCTTAGAACAGCATACTACCTTGCTTCCCAGGCCATGGTGGACAACCTAGGCCTGCAGGATGGGCAGGAAGGAATCGAGGCCTTCATCCAGAAGAGAAAGCCGGTCTGGTCACAGTGAGCCAGCATGAGAAGCGCTGAGCCGATGGCCGGAGTTAGGAAGTCGCCCGCCCTTCTTCTCAATCCAATCACGCTCTTGGTGGTAAGAGAAGCCAGCCAGCCAGCCTTTCTGACTCTGGTACTGGCTTCCCAGTGGGTGGTCTACATTAAAAGCCATGATTCTGTGGGAAATGAATACAGGGAGTCAATGAAGTGCTGGTCAGTGGCCAGGTCAGTGAGCACTGAGGTATGCTGGCTGTGACAGAAAGCCCGGTACCTGACAGAGCCTGCGGCACCAGATGTGAGGTGCTACCCGCACACGGGTGACAGGCAAGTGAGGCCTGAAGCGGGGATACCACCCCCCTCTCCTGTACTTTCCTTAAGGTGGAGTCTGTTCTGGTTGCTCATGACAAGTTGAACGTTTCAAATCTCCATGAGATCATCACCACACTGAAAATCTTCTTGATTCTATCAGGAAATAATCATGCCTGTGGCTTTGGAATAATCTAATGTGATCTGAATAAATCAAATATTTATAGAGCTGGGTCATTCATTTCTAACTCACTGCAAGCTAAGAAAAGAGTGAACATTCTCTTTGTATGTCCACTCTGATGGGCACGTAGCAAGGGCCACGTGTCTTCAAATGAACGTCCTTTGCCCTCCAGTTACTACTAAACCAGAGGATAATAGCAGATCGGGACAGTGAGAGGACCCAGAACAGGCAGTACCCATGAGTCACTTCCTCTAGACAGTTCTGAACTGCGCTCAGCTTCTGGTATAAAAAAAAAAAAAAACAAAAACAAAAACAACCCACCACCCAGACTGACAACAGTTCTCCAGTTAAACTAATGTTTAGACCTAGTCATATTTTTTGGCTTCTGGTCTAATGCAGCCCAAGAAGTGTTCAAAATTTCTTAATCAGTAAACTTAATCATCAATCAGTATCTATCTGTCCATCTGTCTGTCTATCTGTCTCTCCTCTCCCTCCCTCCCCTCCTTCCTTCTTTCCAGTGCTAGGGATTGAACTCAGAACCTTGTGTACACGAGACAAGCACTCTGCCACTGAGCTGCACCCCAGTCCTGTTTTGCTGTTGTTGTGGTTGTCAGTTGTTGTCACCTAAGAGTCAGATAGAACAAAGTGTGATGGCACATTCCTGTAATCACACCTACTAAGTAATCTGAGGCCGGAGGATCACACGTTCAAGGCCAGACCTCATAACTTAGCAAGACATTGTCTCAAAACAACAAAAATTTAAAAGGTAAAGAAGTAGCTTAGTGGTGGCCACTAGTCTAGAATGTATTTAGGTCTGGGGTTTTATCCCCAACACCAGAGAGAAAGGGAGAGGGGAAAGGGAGGAGGAAGAGGGAGAGGGGGAGGGAGAGAGAGAGGGAAGGGAAGGGAAAAGGGGAAGGGGAGAGACAGACACAGACAGACAGACACAGACAGAGACTGGCTGACTTGTATGGTTCTAACCTGTGGTTTCTACTCTGACTGCTAGGGTAAAAGTGGCTTGTGGCATGGATGTCCCCAGATATCATCGTGGCAGGCTTCTCTTGGGATGGGCAGTTGCTTCCTTCTCCAGGCTTTAGACGGCAAAAAAGAGTTTGTTGTAAGAGTGCCCCATGGGCAGAGACCATCTGAGCTGCCGCTTCCTGCAGACCCAGAATGTGCCAAGTATCTCCTCTCTGCCTGCTCTCATGTGGCCCTCAGTAGGGCCCACAGTGATCCCCACCTCAGGTGAGGCTTTGAGGCGGGGGGGGGGGGGGGGGGGGGGGGGTCATTTTTGTCCACAGACAAGCAGTAGGACTGAAGTTTGAGGATTCCAACATGTCTGCCTGCTAGAGCCATAGTTTTTAGTCCCCTGGCTGCACTGCCTCATGGGAAATGTTCCAGATCATTAGACCAAAATCCAGAAAGGAAAAGGTTTAGTTCCCAATCCACACACTTGCTCTCTTGGGGAGCTCGCTTGCCTGATGCTAGTCTGAATTTGTTTCCAGAGGCTGAGCACAGTTTGGAACTGTTTCTGCAGGAAATTACCCTGGTTGGGTGGGATACATGCTGTGCTCCTCTCTCACTATCCCCAGGGATGGTCTGAGCCTGGCTTGAACTCAGGACAAATGACTGCCCTGCTCTGCAACACCGTCTTCACAAAGAGAGTGGAAGACAGAGTCCCGTCTTAGGGACTTTGCCAGCTCACAGGATACATTGAGTCTGTTACCTGGCAGGGCGCAGGTCTGTTAACTGGCAGGGCGATGGTAGGGATTTTACTATAAGGCAAGGGACAGCAGGCTGACATTCCTAGTTAATCTAAGGACTGACTATGGCAGTTAGTCCAAAAGAAATGGGCCACCCACTGTCTGTTCCTCTTTGGTGCTCCAGCTGAGCAGATTACTGCCTGGTGGGTGCTGGATCATACTGACGAGACATGTGCAGACACGATCCAGGCTTTGGTGAGGCTAACAAAGCCTTCCCACACATTCCAGAAATGAAAACGGAATGCCCCATTTCCATAGGAGCAACCACCGCTCCGTCAAATTATGAGCTCCTCGGGCCTCTAGGCTAACTCCCCAGCCTATGAGCTGATGCGCAATTGACAACTAGCTATAAATATCAGTAGTCACTGGGGCAGAAAATAATCCAACAAGAAATGTGCCACACACCCTCCGCGTCAGATAATCTATCCCAAGGCTGACATCATTCTCAGTTTATTTCTATCTGTCCTCTTTTACCAGGATGTTGAATGAAAACTTCCTGATAACCACACATGCTTTTGAAAAGCCTATTATATCATCTTTCCCTAGGCACTATTTACCTCTGGGGAGCTGAGCTGAGCTGAGCTGAGCCCAGCAGGCCATACCCTAGCAAGCAGTACCTATCAAGTCAGTAGAATGGGCATTCATTTCTGCTAGCCCCGAGTGAGGCATTGTTCAAAGGCTGCCTTGGCCCCTGGAAAATAGAAACAGGCTAATGAAAGAACATCAGAGGCTTCAGAGGAGCCTAACACCGTCCCAGACAGCTCTAGAATCCATTCTTCTCCCTCATGCTATGTCTAAGGCCCTTGGAAGAGCCAGCATGTGGGTTTTGAATCTGCATGACTATGAGGGTTATGTTCCCAACTGCTGTAGCATATACCTCCCAACATATGCAAGAACTGCCACCCAGCCTGGAGCTAGAGCTGTGCTCATAGGAGACCAGATTAAGGGGCCGAGCAAAGGGAACACTACTTTCCAAAGGAGACCTGGGGAGAAGCATCCATTTGGCAACCAAGAACAGCGACTGACTGCTGGTCCTAGATGTGTGGGCCTGCTAGGGGAGGCAGCCTCCGTCAGCACTGTTTTTCTTCCCATAAAGGTGCCACCACTGCTGGGCATGCTGGGAAATGCGTGTTTTATCCTGCATGCAGGAGACTAAGGCAAGAGGACTGAGAATTCCAAACCAGGTTGGACCTCACAGCAATGTCCTGCCTGAGGAGGAAGGACTGAAATGGAAAAGGAAGAAATCATGACAGTTCCACCAATAAACACCCTCATTTGTCCATCCAGTTTCTACATCCTGGATTCTACAATACCAGTGAACTTCTTCCCTGTCATTGCAGAAGATAGGAACTTGACTCCGAGCGGTAAAAAGCACTAGAAACACATGATTCCATTTGGGAACCAGACGTCCACTCACAGACATGAGAGTTCAGGTCACACCACAATCTGTGAAGGATGTCAATGGCAAAGTGGACCCCACATAGAACCAAAGCCCACTGGACTTGATCGTTCCTCTTAATTCTGTCTTGGTGTTCTCAGAAGCCCACGTCCTTCGCTCTCATTCTTCTGAAACCCCATTTCACTAAGAATGGTGTTGCCAGGGCTGGAGAGATGGCTCAGGGCTTAAGAGCACTGGTTGCTCTTCCAGGGGTCCTGAGTTCAATTCCCAGCAGCCACATGGTGGCTCACAACCATCTGTACTGGGATCGATGCCCTCTTCTAGCCTGTAGGCATACATGCAGACAGAGCACTCATACATTAAAAAAATGATAGTACTATATAATTAAAGAATGGTGTTGCCAGTGTGGCCCGTGGGTCACCTACATCTAAAGTTTAGACTGTTAAAATGCAGAAGCCTAGGCTTCACACTAGACCAACTAAAGGGAACACTCTTATTTCTATTGCTCCAAAAATATTCCTTAGAGGAGTTCCAGATTCTGCCACATGCTGAATTTGTGACTACCTGCACTGGTGTGGAGGCATCAAGTTAAGTCCTCCCAGCATGCTCCAGCAAGATGTCTTAGCAAACAGGGCACTTGTCCCCTGTGATAGTTTGAATAAAAATGGCCTCCGTAGGCCCAGAGGAAGTGGCACTATTGGGTGTGGCCTTTTGGGGGGCATGTCACTATGGAGTTTTGAGGTCCAAGAAACTCAAGCTTGGCCAGTGTGTCACAGTCACTTTTTGCTGCCTGTGGATCCAGATGTAGGAATCTCAGCTACCTCTCTATCCTTCTGTCTGTTTGCATGCTGCCTTGCTTCCCACCATGACAGTAATGTACTAAACCTCTAAACTGTAAGCCAGTCCCAATTACGTTTTCCTTTATAACAGTTGCTGTGGTCATGGTGTCTCTTCACAGCAGTATAACCCTAACTAAGGCACCCCCTAACTTGGCAACCTGAGTTTATTCCCCAAAACACACATGGTAGAAAGAGAGAACAATCTCCCCAAGCTGTTTTCTGACCTCCACACACTCTCCATGGTGTGTGTATGTGTGTGTGTGTGTCTGTGTGTGTCTGTGTGTGTCTGTGTGTGTTCATGTTCACACAAACACAAGTAAGTAAATAAACAAGTAAATGTAAAGTTGAAGCAATGTAGTATGCATGATGAAATCATGGGCAGTTGCAATTGGTCTGGAAGGAATGAAGAGAGACCTAAGGGAGCCCAGAATCCTCTTAAAATCTTCCCATGGGCCCCAGATGTTGCTGCTTTTAGCTGCTCAGCCCATTAAACATCAGAATATACCCACTGCCATACTTCTTTCTTATATTTAGGAGAAAGCATTGAGCAATCTGATATTCAAGTGTGTCTTAATTAAAGGTCTTGATTTCTTGGCAATCAAGTATATTGATGTGCTAAACTCTATTACTGAAGTTGGCATGTATTTTTATCAACGTTTAAGAAATTGTCAAATTTTTATCCTGCAAAGATTTTTCTTTCATCATTTGAGGCTTAAAGTTTATTTTTCTTTTTTATGTGTACATGTATGTGGTGTGTATGTGTGTGTATGGACATGTGCATGGAACCAGAGGTCAACCTTGGAGCTGTCCACCTTGTGTTTTGAGGCAGAGTCTCTCACCAGGACCTAGGGCTTGCCAGTTGGTGAGAGAGGCTAGCCGGAAAGCTCTGTGGATCCCTCTGCCAGCACTAGAACATGTTCCACCGTGCCTGGCTTTTCACCTGGGTTCTGGGGCAAACTCAGGCTCTTCTTCTTCTTCTTCTTCTTCTTCTTCTTCTTCTTTCTTCTTCTTCTTCTTCTTCTTCTTCTTCTTCTTCTCCTTCTC